AGATCTCTCCCCTGCGCTTCCACGTTCGTCACTTTTGAGCGCATTCCGACCTCATACGTCATCCGCCCAGAACTGTTTCCGTTTACAACAGTGAGCACAAGCTAGATTAAATTGATTATTACATTTTAAAATGGATATTTTTCTTACAAAAACGCATCGATTCGCTACAGGAGGCCTTTGTTCACCCCCCAGAGCTGTGTGAGACACTTTGTTTATGGATGGGTGCTTTTTATTTCACTTCTTTTGGACTGATGCACTGCAACACCCGCTGACTGCCATTAAACAGCTTGAAAGATCAAAAACCATTTTTAATATAACTCCGACTGGATTCGTCTGAAAGAAGAAAGTCATATACACCTAGGATGACTTGAGGGTGAGTAATTTATGAGCTAATTTTTGGGTGAACTAACCCTTTAAGGTCTACATTTGGTTTCATACCTTTGCATTTGCATCGCTGTTTGTAAAATCCCCATATCTGCAAGAATTAGCATACATTAAATAATTCACAATGAGAGAATATAAGAAAAACATGGAACATTTTTTAAATGGATTTTGGATCACATTAGAGAATTTTAACTAAATGCTACTAAAACATACTAAAATACAAAAAACAATGCATAACTGTACTAAAATTTTGTTTATTTCCCCCAAATATGAGGATTATGTGTTCCCTTTGGTAAATACTGAAACAATGATGACAAATATAACAAAGAGTGAAAAATTTAAGGGGGTCTGAATACTTTCCGTACCCACTGTATGAAATAACTCCCAAAAAGTGTGCTTCGCTGCAGAAAAAAAGGTGTTCGGTAGTGATGTTCCTTAAAGTTACACACAGATTATTCAGACTTTTGAACACCTTTACCTTAAAATGATGAGACCTATCTACTCGCACATTGTAGCTATGAGAGAGGGGGACACAGGAATATTTCCTGATCATAAATTTATGGGTTTTGTTCAAATCAGTCTTGGCCAATGGACTAAAACATACACAGTTTCGGTAGTGATATGAAAAATTCGGGACACATTTTTGGTCCCACTTTATATTAAGTGGCTTTAATTTTTTTTTTACATAAAGTTTCATAATTTACAAATAAAACATTTTTTTTTTAACTTCACTTTTTAAAAGAATCAAAAAGATACTTTTAAAAACAACAATGGAAAAAAATACAACAATTATTTCAATATAATTTCCATTAGTTCAAATTTAGGGCTTAGGGTTCGGGACAGCCACCTCCCAATTGAAAGTAGCCAATAAATGATGATTTTATATATATATTAAGCTTACTAATATTTTAAATATTATTGTGGGTTTCGATAGATAATAGAAGGATCTTAGTAAACATCTAAGATTTGAATACTTAAATGCTTTTCTGTAGAATGGCCCATATATATATATACACTGTATATAATTAAATAAAAAATCTTACTGGTCCCAAACTTTATTATTTACACTATTTCATGTGAGTGGACAAAAACTACTTAATTATTTTACATGTAAAAAAAGCAATTTTGTAATAAAAAATGTGTAATTTTGTAATAAAAACTTGGCTTGAGTGTACCTTAAATTTAATTACATTGAAAAAGCTTTTCAAAAATACTGGTTCAACAAAAACACTGAAGAAAAAGGAAAACAGGCTCTCTGCTTGGGTGGACCTCGACAGGAAATTAGAAAATAGGAAGTGGTTACGATCTACACCCAACTACCAACTGTAAACATAACATCTTTCCCACAGACAGACCCTTAAACACAACCCTGCTGCACTCGCACTGAAAACAGCACAAGCACTATGAACCTCTGACAGCAGAGTCAAATATGAACGAATGCAAGCCGTAAATATGATCTGGCTTACGAGTGATAATAAAATAGGCATTATGTGCATCTGTGCTTTTTGAAATAAATACAGATCTGGATGTCTGTTTTTCATGATGCTGAAAAGATCTTATTTCATCTTTTGTGTGGGTTGTCATCATGTTGAAGATGAAGATAAAGAGACTGAGCCCCAAATAAAACGTGCACTCACCAAACGAGAGCAGTGCCGACAAAATGAAGGCTTGACGCTGCTCGTCTCTGTAAACGTGTGAACAAAACCCATCTTACAGTTCTGTAAGGAGCTCGCCTTTGTGAAGTACTCAATCATCTCCTCACGGCTAATTTTACAGTCCCTGGGAGTGAAAATGAAAAAGAGAAAGATGAGACCTTTACTGTAGTGTAGACTTTGACAAATGAGGGAAAATAATTACTCCAGATAGACTGGACAGATGTCTTGACAAACCCACTGGTTTTGGTCCAGTTCATCAAATTTGCCGAGGTAAGGGAAATTGCTCCTGATGATCTCAAACTCTCCTTGGGAAATGTAGCCATCGCTATCAGTGTCGAAATTTTGGAACACTGACTGAAAGCAAGACATCTTACAATTAGTTCTCTTTCACCACAAGTTAATTTATTGCACGCTTTTCTGGAATTCTTGTCAAATTTGTGCAATATCACACACAACAGTATTGTTCATTATTTGTTGTTCAGCACAATGGCATGATTGTAAATATGAGATTTCTTTTAATAAGCCAGTCTATAAACAAAAAGTTATCACATAACTTACATTTGCTCCAGTAATGAAAATATTTGCAAACTAAAAGCAGAATTAAGTAGCTTCATGTTTCAAGGTTACATTCCTTTTTGTTTTTGAACAAACCGATTGAGTGAATGATTCAATGACTCACTCATAAGGTCAGTCACTTGTATGATTTTTTGAATGAATCAATGTTTTTGAACAAATCGGCTGAGTGAATGATTTACGTAATGACTCACACATAAGGTCAGTCACTTGTTTCATTCCTGATTCAATGAGTTTTTTGAATGAATCAGTTGAGTGAACGATTCAGTGTTGCATTCATAAGGCCAGTCAATTGTTTAACTCCTGAATGAATCAGTGTGTTAGAAAGATAAGTCCCTTATTTAATTTTTTTAATGAATCAGCGTTTTTGAACAAATTGATTGAGTGAAAGATTTAATGACTCACTCATCAAACATTCTGAGAAGCGCTGACGATAGCGGCTGTAGTTTCCAGAGGAGGTGACCAGCTCCACCAATCCATCAAAGACCTGATTAAACGCAGAGGAGAACATCGGTTAGGCTGAAGCCTGGTGCAGTCGAAATATGAGGAAAGGGGATTTCGGTACATGGGTACAAGATATTCCTGCTCATGTTTGGTTGCCTGATAACAGAGCACTTGACTCGAGTATTGATATTTCTGAGCAATCTTGCAGAGTATGAAAATGGCACTCAATCCATCTACTGAAAAGTGGACTTTAAGAATCTTATCTCTCATAGCCAGAGTTGGAGTGTTACAGCTGTTTGTTTTTCTTGCCAGTATTTGAGGTGTTTACAAAGCAGCTCTCTGGCAGTCCTCACCTTGCGTGTCTCGCTGCCGATGAGTGCCTGCGTATCCTTGAGTCTAGCAATGGAGCTATTGCTGAGCCCACCCACTACAGCCATCAGTGTATTGAAGTTCTGCAGCTGCAGCAGCCTCTACACACACACACACACACATATACAGTACAATATGTATATATTCATTTCAAAATCCTAAAACTTTTTTTTCAGTTTTAAATTAGATTCTGAATCCCCAGATCTTCAATGTGGTCTGAGACTTTTGGACCCCGCTGTAAACAGATTACATGTCTTAAATATAGGCGAGCGAGCGAGTTGGATTAACCTGGGCCACTTTGATGAATTCACTGATGACAGTGGCTCTCTGCTGAGCTGTAGGCTTACTGAGAACCATGATCTGGATCCACTGGGAAACACTGTTAAACAGAGTAATGAAACGCTCCAGAATGGGATTATCCACCGTGCAGCCGTGCATCACGAAACTGTGGTAGTCCTGGAACTGAGGGGGAACAGATTTTTCATTTGCAATATGAACTCAGACTCGAGGTCATGCTATTACGAGCACAAAGACACGACTAAATACTGCATCTATAAATTAAGAGACTTACCAGAATTTTGCAAAATGATTTGTACTCCATATACGTTAGGTGTTCAGCCAGGGTGGAAGCATCCAGGTGGTCAAAAAGAAGAGAGGTCTTGCGTTTTTTCTGGACAGTTTCATCCAGTTGACGTCGCCATTCGTAAGATGGACTACAGGCAAAACAAACAAAACATTGTATTTCTGTTCCTTGTCCCGTATGCCTAAATATTAAGTACGCAACTTTTTCTATTATATTGGATTATATCAACAGGTCAGTGACATGACACTCTAGATCTATTAAGTTATTAATATATACATACATACAGGTGCATCTCAATAAATTAGAATGTCGTGAACTTCTAGCTGTTTGAGTATCTCAGGCATGCAGCTTGTTTGTGATGTTCAGTACACTATCCCCCCACTTTCTCCAGCCCTCTGTATCAAAGGAGCAGCGGTTTGGGTGAGTTCTGTGCCCCTGTGACTCACATGCTGTCTATGTCGATGAGCAGACTTCGCCTCACATCTCCATTCTGCTCCAGTCGCTCTTTCAGACCGCGGATCTGCTCAGCCAGAGCGGGGTTCAGGTCAAACTCAGCTGGGAACTCAGATATCCAGTACCTGACAGAGAAAAGGAGATGGAAGACAGAGAGAGCTATGACACAGAGTAGCTGTGCATGAAACAGGTCTAGGCAAGACATCAGTAGGATGAGTATTTTCGGTGAATAGTCTTGCCTCAACTGCTTTATGTGAATTCACAATACACCTCTGTGATACAACCCAGTTGCCTTATGACAAAAAGCATCCACATCTTTACAAGAAATATGCACTGCATGGCCAAATAGTATGTGGACACCACAGCCATAGATGCTTTTGAGTGTGAAATAGGTCTGCATAAATGCATACATTTCAAAATGCATGCATTTTACATTAATAGGGAGTTCTCCTTAAGGGGGCGTTCACACATAACACGGTTTTGCTGCTTTTCCAGTTTTTTTATGTTAACATGCACTAGATGGACGTCTTTGAACACTCCGCTTACATATCACATCTTCTGCAGCATCTCACTTTGACACTGCAATCTAAAAACGTGCCACTGAAGTCTCAATACCATGCATTTTTTCCATTCCACTGCCCTGCATCTCACATTTTTAAACGCAAAAACGTGTTCTGTGTGAATGGCCCCTAAGGAAATTTGCAAGCTGCGAATGTCAATATCACTGATTGGGTGAACACAGCATGCAGCGTGTTTAAATAATGGTTTTGGACCATTAAATGGCCTTCTTCTTCCAGTTAACATGTTTTCTGTCACATATGTTCTCTCAAATTACAGCACTTACATTTTTTTGACTCCACTGTCCATGAACATTTATTGAGGCAAAAGCTATTCCGTTTATGGGTTGTTTGTGCACTCATATTACCACAAATAGGTTAAAGTGCAACTTGCAATATGGCGAAATAAGTCCTGCATTCTAAATAAAACATCCAATAGCCAATTGGAAAGGTTATCGGATCACTGCCGTTAGAAGTTCAAGTTGCTATAGAAACAGTTAGAAACTTAGGACTGCACATGTGCATTGGCTAGTCCAGCCTGAAATAAAAGCTTTTTTAATGCGCAACATTTATGAGAAAGTTCATGTTAGATTTTGTTGTTGATTTGAAATATTTTATTTAAAGAGATAGCTCATCCATGTTGGTAACCAAACAGCTGACAGTAGCCATTGACAAAAAAACACTATGGAAGTCAATGGCTACCGTCAACATTTGGTTACCAACATTCTTCCAAATATCTTCTTTTGTGTTCAACCCCAGCAGGCACACAACGTCATAAGACGTTGATATTTGGTTACATTTCGGTTGCGACGTCGGGTGACCAAAATTCAATGTCAATTCAACATCTAATGTCAATTTGATGCCCAATACCGACGTCAGCTGACATTGATATTTGTTGTTTTTAGGTTGTGTAACCAAAATCCATCATTACGTCAACGTCAATTTGGTATCCGATTTTCATTCTCAACCAAAATGCAAAGTATGTATTTTTGGGTAAACTGTCCCTTTAAATGTAAGCGTGGCAAGCAGTTTTTGAGATTTCAGGATTTCCCCATTCATGTAGATAGGACTTGGTCTTGGATGCCTAAAATAGGCTTTGAAAGGGACTTTGTTCTAATCTAACACCTCATCGTTTCATACTGAGTTTCGTAACACAGGGTCAAAAGCAGTGCTAACCCCCTTGTGAAACATTGCTTTTAAAGCAGGGTTTAAAAATATGATAACCCAAGGTTAAGAGTCGCATGAAAAAGCCCATTTAAAGCCCTTTGGAGGGGTATTGTGATACTGAAAGAGAAAAGGTAGGTGCCACTCTATTATAAAGCTTTGAATATGATTTACGGCTGTATTCTGTACTTGATTTCATGCACCTGTTACTAATGGGTTTATCTGAAACAGCCGAACCTTGGATGTCTTCAAGCTTTTAGCCATGTAGTATATGTATAGTTATTATAAAAAATAAATAAATAGGTGAACAAATGGCTTTTTAACCTACTTGACAAGGTGACAAATCTGAGACTGGCAAATTGCAGAACAATCCTGTTCCTGAGACCTGTAATACTGTCAAGGTAGCTCACTTCATTACTATTATCGGCTGTTAGGAGAGTGATGGAAACAGTTTGTGATGCAGTCAGCCCTCTCTATAAATGACAAACCCCACCCATGACCGCATGTACTAAGTGCTAAATGTCAAGTAAAAAAGCTGGCCTGTCACCTCTGAAATTAAATGTACAAAGACTTGTATTTCTTTTCAGGTATTTGACATTAATGCTAGTTTTTCGAAATACAGAGTCCTGAGAAAGTATAATGTGACAGGTCTGCTGAAGGAGGATACTTGTGCAGGAGTTTCTTAGCTAGGTCACTGGATGACAGGTACCAGGGATGCATGGTAAGAAACATTCGCACGAGAGATGGCTCCTTCAGAACGCCTTCATTGTCTGCGAAGAAGATAGAAAACCAGACAGACATTTGCACATTAATTACCATGAATCTATTAGCCTATGACTTTCATTTAATGCTCAGTTTGAAAATGTATATATATGTTTATTAGTGCTGTCAAATGATTAATCGCAATTAATTGCATCCAAAATAAGTTTTAGTTTATATGTGTGTGTACTGTGTATATTTATTATGTATATATAAATACACACACATATACAGTATATATATTTAAAATATTTACATGCTTTTAAATGTATATATTTATATCCATATAATTTATATTCTATATAAATATATTTAATACATTTACATTTATATTTAGTCATTTAGCAGATGCTTTTATCCAATAAGTAAGTAATGACTCAACAAAAGAGCAATGATATGCAAGTGCTATAACAAGTCTCAGTTAGCTTAAAGGGGTCATATGATGCTTTTTTAAAGATCATTATTTTGTGTATTTGGTGTAACAGAATATGTTGACATGCTTTAATGTTCAAAAAACACATTATTTTTCATGATTCTTGAAGATGGTGATATATAAGCATAACATATTTTTCTGAAATATATACATGCATGTGTGTTTTTATATATACATAATAAATATACAGTACACTGTACATATATATATATATTATGTAAACAAAAACTTTTATTTTGGATGCGATTAATCGTTTGACAGCAACTTCAACCAAGAGTCCAAAGCTAAAGTTCAGCTAAAAAATATCTTTGTCTTTCCCACGTTAAAATGTATCAAGTAAAATTAAATAATGAATCATTTAATGGCTTTGCAATGAAAGCATATTATGTAAAACACATTTATTTTTTACTAAATGCACACTATTATAAGTCAGGCCAAAAATATTACATTTTATAGTAACAGTGCTCCATTTCTCTATCCACCAGGGAGTCGAATTGGCTTGAAAAAAATTGAAGACCCCCGAGCTAGAGAAATTAACATGAGAAACACTGAAGAGGTTTGAAGAATATCAAGAAACAGACACAAATGCATACAGTTGAACAAGTCAGTGTTGTTCCGACTGGCTGATCAGAGGGTTTACACAAGAGAAGGAGGAAGCAAATATGACCACTGACCAAAGGCTTTGATGCAGGCTTCCACCAGCTCATCCACGCTGGCTGACTGATCCGATGAAACGCTCTCCATCCCTTTCTACTTCACTGTTCTCCACAGCCCCTCCTTCTCCCCCCCACTTAATTTTCCACTCCTCTCTTTGATCCCTCTCTTTTTCAGTCTGAAAACGAGACAACGCCATGCGCGGCAAAGGAAACAGAATCAATAAAGCAGAGAATGGTTCAGATGTGAGAGGTGTCACTGGTTTTTCATTTTCATCAAAAGCAGACAAATCCTAGTCACACATGGATAATACAGTGGACAAGACTCATGCGGAGAAAAACAAGGTGCATAAAAGAAAAGAAAAAAAAAATCAGAGATCCATAGGAACCGTTTTCAGAGAACAGTAGAAGAAAAAATAAGCCTTAGAAAGATTTTCAAAGGAACTTACCAGTTGAATCCGGCATCAATGGTCAAACAGTGATCATCTTTGAAAACAGAAGTGCTAATGAACGCTGGGCTTCAGTGGAGCCTCTCTACCCATGTACTGAAAACCACAGAGGGCCTCACTGGGGTTCACTCTGAGTACAGCTGCCTGTAGACTCAGTTTCCTGTCAGTTGAGAAATTTACAGCTGTTGCATTTCCTGTTCATAATGTTTCGAGACTTTTTTTGTCACATTCACAACAAAAAGGGGTGGAGGACAAAGGGTGAGAAAAAAATGTAAAGAGAAAAAAAAAATGTAGTTACAACTAAATTCTTAATTAATTTTTGTATTGGTTCCAGTAAAAATATCCAAATGTCTAAAAATATCTAAAGACAAACTTAGTTGAGAACCAAAACTGTATAAGATGCTAAGTCATGTTTCAGAGAACATACAGGTGCATCTCAATAAATTAGAATGTCGTGGAAAAGTTCATTTATTTCAGTAATTCAACTCAAATTGTGAAACTCTTGAATTAAATTAATTCAATGCACACAGACTGAAGTAGTTTAAGTCTTTGGTTCTTTTAATTGTGATGATTTTGGCTCACATTTAGACACACGTATAAATATGTTATTTTAAAACAAATGATCATAGCTTATGAAATTTTGCTTCTAAATTAAATGTAACTTTAATTTTATAAATAAGAAACAAGAAATACTGTATATATTATCTATCTATCTATATCTATATATAATAGAAAATTATTTAATAATTGATGAAAACATTCTAGCTTATGAAATTTTGCTTCATTTAATGATAACTCTGCATGTGACTTTGTTTGCTTTAATGGTAAATCAGAGCATCACAGAACTGTTTTTATAAAGCATGGACACAAAAGTGTCCAGTGTGTCCACAATCCTCACTGCTGAGGGTGTGAGCAATGTGAAATTGAACAGTTGTGTTGGCTCCCCTCAGTGGCCACATAGTGTCACACACTTTAATTTCTCACTCTGGCTATTACTGAAGCTTGAATTGATATTAAAACTGAACTGTCAAATTATCAGTTTTATTGGAAATAATCAAAACAGCTTTCATTGAATACATTTTGAAAGCAATGTTTCAACAAAGTTAAAATCCTGAACTTGATGGAATAAAGAGAAACTAGTGTTAGTTAATTTGAAATCAAATTTAAATATGATTGTGATTAGGGTATGAAAATATTCAGACTGAAAAAAAAAAAATCCTATTATTATCAATATTATGTTGTCCTGTCTCATATTTATCTTGAATGTAAGTGTAAATTAACATTATATTTAGTGTAAATATAACAAATTAAGTAAGATCTGGGCCATTAAAGCAGATCTTGGCTAATTTATAGCGAAGATTCAAGTCTCAATTAATAGATTTATCTGGTTTAAAAAAAAATCGAGAAAATAAGGCAAAAATATCTAATAAGAACAGATACAATTTTTTATTATTTTGCAGTGTAGGGGGCTAATGAATCTTTACAAAAAATGGCACATCTTATCCGTTCTGCTTTAAAGGATTTACTCAGGTACTGCAGGGGGTCTGCAGAGAAAAAAAAATACCATTCTCTTTAAAAAAAAAAGAAAAAAAGCACGATATTTTTAGTAAAATGAATGAATATGAAATGACCTGATATGCATTAGCCTATATAATATAATAATGTGTAATGTGTTTTAACGTGTACAAAATGTGATTTGTTGCTCCCACGGGTTAGCTTAGAATCTGGGTCTGCAATTCTCTATTGAATAAACTGTCTATTAAGTTTGCAAAACATTTCATAATTGAAATGCATATTAATTTAAACAAGATTGAGGATTCATGTGTGGTGCACAGCTGTTGATGCCGTTCAAATATCATGGCCTTTTAGTTGGGTCATTGCGGCTATTAATGTCTCTGGCTCGAGAGACTTCTGGATTATTGGAGTTGTAGTTCAACTTAAAATACGTTTATTCATAATTAATTTTCACTTCTACTATACATATTTATCAATCGCGTAAAAAATAAAACACCAGTATCCTCATTTTCATAAAGCAGTTACCTTACTGAAAACTTAATTGGCGGATGGCTGCACCGACCCCGCCCACTAATTAATATTCATGATGTGAACTTTAAATAAGGACAACTGTCAGTGTTATATGGGTGCTGTCGCGTGCGGTCTGAACTTGAACCCAAGACGAGACTACTGTCACCATGTCTAAACCACTGTCAGACCACGACAGGAAAAAGCAGATTTCTGTGAAGGGGCTCGCCGGTGTGGAGAATGTGGCAGACCGCTGTCAGTGTTATATGGGTGCTGTCGCGTGCGGTCTGGTGTTTACTCTCTTACTTGAACCCAAGACGAGACTACTGTCACCATGTCTAAACCACTGTCAGACCACGACAGGAAAAAGCAGATTTCTGTGAAGGGGCTCGCCGGTGTGGAGAATGTGGCAGACCTAAAGAAAAACTATAATCGCCATCTGCATTTCACGCTGGTGAAGGACAGGAACGTATCCACCAAACGGGATTATTACTTTGCGCTCGCGCACACAGTCAGAGACCACTTGGTAGGCAGATGGATCAGAACACAGCAGAGTTATTACGAGAAAGACCCCAAAGTAAGTTCGTGCATGTTTGAGGTTGCACCAAAATAAAAGCAAGTCCATGCATGAGACGACTGCACCAAAACAGAATACATTTTTTGTATGCAATTAATAACTACACGAGTCAATGAAGCTCTAATAACATTTCATGCCATTTGTACACTCGAAGACGGTTGCAGTAGCGATTCCCTGCTTGAGCACAGCATTGTTGACCTTTTGTGACCCGAGAACTCTTCAGGTAAACTGGGATCAGCACCCTATGCAAAGTATTTTTAAAAATCAGTATTCACTTATGGGTCAACTTTAGCACGGCTTTGATAGTCAAATATAATTTTTGCAATGATTTCAACTAGCATTAACATACAGATCTCAACTTGGGGAACATGAATGAGCATTTAAGATGATCAATAGCATGAGCTTTACATTACTAGCACAATAATGCATCTCCAGTTTATTGCTCTCTGTCATGTGCATTCATAAAGCATCTTGAATTTTGATGATTATGCTGGCGATTTTTCTTCTTTAAATAATAAAGGAACTAATGACACAATATTATCATATTAACATCTATTTTATGATCTATTTCAAAGCATATTTAATTGAAATGTAACTAGAGGGACATTTGTTATATTTATAAATATTAAAACGACCAAGCAGCAGAAACCGTATAAAAAGAATGTGTCAGTATTCAGGGCATCACAATCGGAGTCTGATGATGGGTGATGAAACCACAGCTCAGCATCCCTGACCTTTTCCTCTCCAGTCCAGCCTGAAATCCCTGGAGGTGTCTAGGATATAAAGGTCAAAAGTTGCTCCCTAAAAGAAAGGTCACTGTAGAAACATATATGGAGGAAGAAGTAACATATAATTCAGCCTTATAATAAGAGTTACATAAGACTATACAAACCTTTTTACAGGAAATATCATAAGCAAAATGACCTGGACTTCTTCAGAGAGTTCCATTCGGCTTCTTTTTCTGTAGGTGGACATCAGCAATAAACCTGGACTTGATCATTAAAAGCTCCAATGAGGCTCATGACTGTTTACTTCGAAATGTGACTGCAGAAGTGATGTGAGAAACCGGTTCCATGAGTTCAAAGCTTTGGGATGCTATAAAATGGCTGGTGTGGGCAGAAGTGTGTGGTTTACCTGGACACTGCCATCTTTTTCATAGTTTAAACTGTTTTCAACATCTTGTACGACACATTGGTCTGCACTCAGACCTTCTTCATTAGCTGCTTTACAGAATAGCATTACACACTCTGTAACCTTTGCTGGCGACCTCACTGCTGGTTATTTTTGCTGGAGTCAAAATGCCAGTGTTACATAACACCAGTGACCTTCCCCTATCCCTGACTAGTCTGTTTCAGCCCATCGTGCCGCCACACGCCCACTCTCACCTCCACTGTCTTTTTCTCTCTCTTGCTTTTCATACCCAACACCAAAGAAAGGCCTAAAATGTCAAAGGCTACAACAGGGATGGTATCAGACTGCGATGTGTAAATGATCCCTCTGCCAGGAAGTATTAAATAGTTTTTAATAAAGTCTAAAAATAGTTCCCCAGCTGAGGGTGGGTCCTTGGAGCGCTCGACTTGGTAACCCTAAATCAATATTTCAAAGTATATAACCATTATGTAAACAATGTTGCTGTATTTTTAATATATGTGACCCTGAACCACAAAACCAGTCATAAGGGTCAATATTTCGGAATTGAAATTTATACATCAGCTGAAAGCTGAATAAATAAGCTTTCCATTCAGGTATGGTTTGTTAGGACAATACTTGGCCGAGATACAACTATTTGAAAATCTGGAATCTGAGGGTGCAAAAAAATCAAAATGTTGAGAAAATCGCCTTTAAAGTTGTCCAAATGAAGTTCTTCGCAATGCATATTACTAATCAAAAATTAAGTTTTAATATATTTGCAGTAGGAAATTTACAAAATATCTTCATGCAACATGATCTTTATTTAATATCCTAATGATTTTTGGCATAAAAGAAAAATCAATAATTTTGACCCATACAATGTATTTTTGGCTATTGCTACAAATATACCCCAGCGACTTAAGACTGGTTTTATGGTCCAGGGTCGCATGGCAATATGGATCTCTAGATGTTTTAATATTTCCTGGCTGTGAGAAACTTTCAAAATTCTAATGAAAATTCTAATTCAATTATTCAAATAAATATTTTTCTTAATTTTTAGTTCTTCATAAATTACATTTCATAAAAAAAATTACATTTAAAATAAAAAAAATTAACATTATACTACATAAAATAATTTAAATTAAATTTTAAATTTTAAATAAAGTTAAAAATTCAATTCTCAGTTACACAAATTCTATATTTTACTACTTATTATCGATAACATTCTATAGTTCTACATACTGTAAATTAAATTTAAATACAAAATTAAATAAAAAATGACATTACATTAAATTAAATATTACATTTATAGAATAAGGTACTCTATAAATTACTATATATATATATATATATATACATTTCAGGATTTTGGATGATGTTAGCATGCGTTATAGTTTTGTAAACTGCATTATAGCATGCTTTTTAGTTCCTATTTTCCTTCAGATTGCAAGTTATTAAATGCAATGCATTTTATGGATGTATATTTATTCATACATTTGTATGGATCTCTAAATGCTTTAATATTTTCTGGCTGTCAGAAATTGCATGAATAAAGGAGTATTATATTATAGTACAACCTAATTAAATTAAATTTAAAATGAATTATTTAAAAAAATTAAAAAAAAAAAAAGGCCAGGAAACATTTCAGGATTCTCAGTTACACTTTTTGTCCAATGTGGTGGAATATATTATCAATAATATTGTATAGTTCTATATAAATTTATTTTAATTAAAAATAATAATAATTACACTTTTTTTTAACATTTCATTAAATTAAATAACATTTTTTTTAATAGAATAAAGAAGAAAATAGACCAGGAAACATTTCAGGACTCAGGGATTTGTGATGACGTTTGCATGCGCTTTAGTTTTGTAAAACATTTTATGCATTAAAACGTGCTCTTTAGTACCTTAGTTCCTATTCTGTGCTTTTTCTGGAACAACACTAAACCTCTTGACGTGATATCATTTCTATGCAACGGTCTAGGATGATTCTTTTGGACAGCACTTTTTAGTTTTGATACAATAAGTGTTTCCCATAAATTTGTATTTTCAGCAGATCTCTCGCTCTCCTTCACTGGCTTTTTTTTTTGTTTTTGTCGACGTGGTTGATACCCATTACAGTTATGAATAGTCACTGTGTCTGGATGGTCCCTGGAGCTCTGGCTATATTCTGCTCTAACAAGCATTTCTGTGGTGGAGCATCAGCACCGGAGCTGCCGCTCTTGCAGCTGTTTCAGCTGTTAGGCTGGAGAATCCCTTACAAAAGCACACATGCCTACAGCTCTCCCTGGACTCTGCTCACATGCTGCTTCATTTCATCTGGAATGTGGCTTACAATAAATGACAGAATCTTACCGGATGTCCAGATGTCCCTCTGCATGGGGAATGGATGTTATCTGTGCCAACAGAGAGAAAAAGAACAAAAGTAAAAAATAAAAAATATATAATTTGCAATAATATTCTACAGTTTATACTTAATATAATATAATGTTTGTTTTTAATTTAATTATTAAATTAAATTAAATATTTTTCAATTTACATTTTAAATTTAAAAAATACACATTATACTAAATAAAAAATTCAGAATAAAGTAAAAAATTAAAAAGTCAGTTACACATTGAAGAAAAAATATGCATCGCAGACATTTAATTTGAATGAGATTACATGTCTTCTGAATAAAGACAAGAAAAAAAACATCCACAGACGACTGTAAATAATGGCTGCAGTCTGTAGTTTTGAATGTTATATACTCGTAATAACCAATATCATCTTATCACCGGCTTTCCGACACCAGAATATGATCAAACACAGAATACGTAACACACAAAATGACTTCTCTTCCACTTTCTTGTCACAAACGCTTAAGATTTGACGTCTGTTTGATTTCATTAATACCAGCAGCCGAGTGCTCATGTGAATGAGCTCCTTTTACAGGAGAGATCCTGACTAATAAGGTAACTCCCATGAATCACTGGGAGCTAAATGAAACGGAGAATAAGCGCTTGATTGGGCTGAACAGTCTTAATGACCTGCTGGTGGGAATCCATGTATTGATCATATATATTGAATGCTCAGAGTCCAAAGGCTCAGTGCAGCAGCGTCTTCATTCAGATGTCATCCTCTCAAGCAGCACGTCCAGTGCAGCGCTGAATAAAAACACTTTGATCTGTATAACGCATCTTTTCTGATCTCTGTTCAAAGGAAAACGTGAGAAATGTCTGTCGGTTTGCCTGTTTATAATTACTGATATTTGTATGATGATTTTGGGTGTGTTTTCTGCGTGCAAATAAAGTACTGACCCTTTCCTTTATTGTGATTATGACACAGTAACCCCACCCTGCCACATTGGCCACTGACCGCCACCCACCTGCTGGCCTGCTATTGGCTCTCCACACTGATCCACGCCCAGCAGGACTCTACTGGCACAATGCAATAAACAGGGCACTGGAAGAGAGACAGTGAGAGAGAGAAAGAATGAAAGGAGCTTGAATGAAAGTAGTATTAAATTGCGTCATAATAGTACCTTTGATACATCATTGCAGCTACAATTTCATTTTGTAATTCAGACTATACATTTCCACTACTATTCCAGCAAATAAAAGCACTGAAATATAAATGTAAAATAATAATAATAAAATAAAAATAAAACAATAATAAAAACAGCAAGTGAAATAAGAAAAACGTAGCAAATAGCATACATTTCAGTTGTGGCACTATTATGTTGCAGAGGTTGATTTCAAAAGAAAGTAGAAAATAGTCCAGGAAACATTTCAGCATTCTCTCACTTTTTTTTAGGTAATATTTCAGTGTCATAGACAATATTCAGTTTTTTTTTAAATGCTCAAATGACTGTAAATAATGGCTACAGTCTGTACTTTTAAATGGTATGTGCTAGTAATAACCAATATATATATAAATATATATGTGACCTTGGACCACAAAACCAGTCATAAGGGTCCATTTTTTGAAATTGAGATTTATACACGATCTGAAAGCTGAATAAATAAGCTTGCATTGATGTATTGTTTGTTAGGATCTGACAATATTTGGTCGAGATGCAACTATTTGAAAATCTGGAATCTGAGGTTGCAAAAAAAATCAAAATATTGAGAAAATCGCCTTTAAAGTTGTCTAAATGAAGTTCTTAGCAATGCATATTACTAATCAAAAATTAAGTTTTAATATATTTACAGTAGGAAATTTACAAAATATCTTCATGGAACATGATCTTTACTTAATATCCTAATGATTTTTGGCATAAAAGAAAAATCAATAATTTTTACCCATACAATGTATTTTTGGCTATTGCTACAAATATACCCCAGTGACTTAAGACTGGTTTTATGATCCAGGGTCGCATATGTTAAAAAATAATGAATAAAGAAAGACATATTCTGTATTATCCTTCTTGTGTCTATTAGCGTGTTTACTACCTCTCCCTGGAGTTCTACATGGGCCGTACCTTGCAGAACACTATGGTGAACCTGGCACTGGAGAACGCTTGTGATGAAGCCATGTATCAGGTAAGACTACACAATGAAGCCAGTGTAATGCTTTAGGTGATTGTTTGAAACCATTGATTCATTACATACATTGTGCTTCAGCTGGGTCTGGATATGGAGGAGCTGCAGGAGATGGAGGAAGATGCTGGACTGGGAAATGGAGGCCTTGGTCGTCTTGCTGGTTAGTAATCTGACTTCAGGTTTGAAAGAGGAACCATCATCTTCAGTATGGATTTTTCGAAAGTCTGGAAAATATTGGAACAGCCCGTTCTTGAAAATTTCAAAGCTATAGAACTTTTCAAAGGCATGATAAATCTGTTTCTGAAAAGATGCACTCACCCTTGGTCTCTCTCTGTTTTTGTTTGTTAGCTTGCTTCCTGGACTCTATGGCTTCTCTTGGCCTGGCTGCCTACGGTTATGGCATCCGCTATGAGTTTGGTATCTTCAACCAGAAAATCTCCAGTGGCTGGCAGGTAGTTTAAGTTACCTTTAATAGTCTGACTTGATAAAAAACAAAACAAAAAAAAAAACTATTAATTTAAAGGGATAGTTCACCCAAAAATTTAAATTCTGTCATTACTCACCCTCATGTCGTTCCAAACCCGTAAGACCTTCGTTCATCTTCGGAACACAAATTAAGATATTTTTGATTAAATCCAAGAGCTTTCTGACCCTCCATGGACAGCAACGCAACTGACACGTTCAAGGCCCAGAAAGGTAGTAAGGAAATTATTAAAATAGTCCGTGTGACATCAGTGGTTCAACTGTAAAGTTACGAAGCTACGAGAATACTTTTTTGCGCAAAGAAAACAAAAATAACGACTTTAT